TATATATATATATATATGCACGCGTGCGCGCACGTTTGCCCGCCTCCCCCCTCCACACGCACACACACCGATCCCCGTCTCAAACCTCAAACCGAAAACCCCTCTTTTCAAGGATGATGGAGAGCATGACCCAGCTGATGTTCAAGGGCTACGAGGAGGCCCGGGTGGCCCTCACCACGCTGCTTTTCACCGTGCCCTGCTGCATCCTCATAGGCGTTGAGTACGGCGTGTTCGACAACGGCGAGCTCGTGCAGGTGAGCCGCCGCAGCTCGGGACAGCGACGCCGCGTCAAGAGAGGGCGCTCGATTCGCACCGCAGCACCCCTAGCTATCCTGCCTGCCCGCCCTACGGCGCCCCCTGGCTACCCTGCCTGCCTTTGCGTCTGATGCGCCGTCTGGTGCCAAGCTGGTGGAGAATTAAGCCAGTATGCAACGCTGTGATTTGCGTGGTGGCGACACACCAGTTGATCTGCTCTTCAATCGCCAGAACCCGGAAGCACGGGGCTTCACCGCTGCTCCATCGGGCACAACCCCTCCCCTCCAGCTTCTCGCACCCATGCGCCCCTCCTGTCCATGCCCCTGACCCTGGAATCCCTCCAAACCTCTCTCCATTTGATACCCGCTGTAAACTTATCCTGTCGGTGTTCATCCCAAACCCTTCAATGTTATCCCAAAACCCTCATAATTATCCAAACCCCCTCTTTCTTTACTGCAGCAATTCCAGGACGTGCGGGACCTCAATCTCCTGACGGACTACCGGGACCAGCTCTGGGCCGCGGTCTGCTTCAGCGTGATCAACAGCATCGAGAAGATCCTCAGGTGGGGGCCCCGCACAGGCGTTTGGGGCAGGGCGGCACCACACTTCGAGGCGGGGACCGTCCCCGCGAGTCGGCGTGGTGGGCGCGGGCAGCCACGTGGGGCTCTACGAGGGCCCCGAGCTGCACGGCCAGCCCTCATGGGCCCTGGACCCCTGGATCTCTGGCCAGTGCTACAAAAAGCCGCACCTTCTATGTGCCAGGGGCCCTTGTACGTTGTCAGCAAGTACATCTTAGCTCTGCATTTGAAACATCTTCTGTGACTGCTACTGTGGAATGAATGGGAGGGGGGGGGGTTGATTTCCAATTTCAAATTTTCCACTTTTGTTTTTCCACTTTTGTTCTCCACCTTTGTTACTCCACTTCTGTTTCTCCATTTTCTTGCTTCCTATGCCCCCCCCTCTCCCCAGGTTTTCCCTCGTGGACCCCTGGCTGCATGAGAAGGGGGACGGCTTCCCCATCCTGTACGTCCGCTCCCACGCCGCGCGCCTGCCTGGCGGCCTGGTGCGGGACTGGCTGTTCCGCTGCAAGGAGATGCTCGAGAAGACAGAGGGGCGCCTGGTGCTCAAGGCGCGCGAGATCTCAGTTTGATGGGTCGCGTTTTCTGGGGAAGGGGAGTGGGGGTCGAGCGAGGTGGTTGTGGCAGGCGCGTGGGCGTGGCGGTAAGGCCTGGCGGGAAGTGATCGCTGAGCTTGTTGGGCCGTTTTGTTGTGGGGCTGGGGCTGGGCTTGCGGGAGGTGAGTGGGTGCAGCGCAGAGGCCACAACGTGCACGTAGGCCTAGAGCATGTAGCCGTTGCTGCCCTGCCCCAGCGACTTTCCACCATCCTCCTTCTCACCCACCCACCCAGGCAACCTCGGACAAAACTCCCGGTCCACCCGACCTTATACCAAACACACTGCAACCCATCCCATCGTACCTTATCTGGCCACGACCCATCCCTCAACCCCCACCCCAACCCCACCCTCACTCCCCAATCTCCCCACCCCCCCCTAGGACCTGTACGGTCACTATGTGCAGCAGGTCAAGGAGCGCGCCTACGGCCTGTCAGACCCCCACCGCGCCATACTGCTGCGCAAGGCTATGCACTACTTCAACACGCGCCGCCTGCACCTGGAGCGCCGCAAGCCGGGCGCCGTCGGGCTGGGAGCGCTGCCGGGGGCGGCAAGGGCGGCGGCTGCGGTGCTGTCCAAGCCGATGATCACGGTGCGCGTGTTTGCTTGTTAGGGCGTGTACACGCGCGCACGCGCGTGTGTGTGCATGTGTGTGTTTGCGTGACAATCACATTGTGTGTTTGATCGGGTGTCGACAGAGAGAATACATTGTGGGAAAGCACAGTCCCTACACAGTCCCCATCACCTCTTTGTCGCTTTGAAGCGGCCCGGTCAAGCCCTTCGTGTGCGCCCGCCTCCCGCGGCACTACAAGCACAATCCAATCACCCTGGCGTGCCTCAAGCCCCTCAAACGCCTGCCCCTTCAAACCCATCCCATCCCGTCGCTGGCTCGCCTACCCGACCCCTCCCGCAGCACCTGATCGCGGACGGCCTGGCGCCAGGTCAGCAGCTGTCCAAGATGCTGGCGGACATCCTGCTGGACAGCAGCGGCCTGGTAACCTTGGACCTGTCTAAGAACAACATGGACGACGCGGCTGTGGCGGGGGTGATGGACGCGCTGCGCATCAACGAGGACATGCAGATACAGGTAAGGTCTCCGAGGCTAGGAGGTCACGTGGGTTGTTGATTTTTTTTCTACTGGTGGCGGGCTTTGGTGTCCATGATTTTCTGGTGGTTTTGTTGTTTGTTTACCTGTCGGGTAGAGGTTGCTGTTGCTTGGCGGGTGTCGGATAACTGTGGCCCGGTGGCGCTCGGGGGTATGAGGGGCGTGGCTGCATCTGCACGGCGGGGCCTGGTGGGTGCCCCCGGCATGGCCGGTGTGCGCAACATCGACCTGGCAGCTGACGGACTCCTCCTTGCCCTGCATCCCTGCACTCCCCACGCGTCAGCCCCACTGCTGAACCCCCTCGACCCCGACCCACACAGCCCCAACCCCCTCTCCACCCTGTTCCCACAGTTCCTGGACCTCTCAGGCAACTCCATCAGCGCCCAGGGCTGCGCCGCGGTGGCCGAGACCCTGGGTTCCAACAGCAGCGTCTACGCGCTCAACCTGGCCGGCTGCCCCTGCCGCGACGAGGGGGCGATCGCGATCGCGGAGGCTCTGAAGAGCAACATAGGGCTGTTCCGCCTCGACCTCACCGGCTGCCACGTGGGTGACCTCCGAGGCTTGAAACAGTGGCTGCTTTGCGGGCCGCACGCCCGCGTCCAGGGCTGCCGCGCTCAACAAAATACAAGCGGGAATTGCGGTGGGGGATCCGCACTTGCGGGGCCGACCCAAGTTGCAGCAAGAGGAGGTGCCCCGTAAAAGCTGAGGATCCGCCGTCCTGCTCAGCATCACGCACTGTGCCTCCCTGCTCACCAGGCACATGCATGTTGATCACACGCCTACCCCTCCCCCTTCATCGATTTTTCGCGCCATCCATCGATTCTCTGCCCCCACTTCGTCACCTTCGCACAGATCGGCCCCGAGGGCGCCATCGCGCTGGCGACGGCGCTCAAACAGAATTCTGTCCTCACGGTGCTCAGCCTCAGGGGGACACTCATAGGTGAGCGGGGCGCGGCATGAATGGGGCGGGCGATGCGGCAGGGTCCGATGGTCCTGGGAGCAGGTGCTGGCCGGCAGTACTTCGGGCTCGGTCAGCGGCGCAGCAACGTCACTTGTATGGCCTGTGAGTCGGCATCAGGTTCAATCTAATCAAGCACTCATTCAAGCCCGCGGAACTCCCCAGATCACAAGCACCATCCCAATGACACAAACTTGTGACGTCACGGCCACCTACTCCCCCACTCCCCCACACACACGCACAACGGATGGAACCGACCCCGGACCCCCCCCCCTCCACACCCCAGGCAACCAGGGCGTGGACGCCATGTGCCGTGCGCTGCGCGCGAACAGCTTCCTTAAAGACCTGGACCTCAGCCACCTGGCGGTGGACGACAAGGCCGCAAACTGCATCGCGCAGGTGCGCCCTCCTTCCCTTGTTTTGGCCAGGGCACGCCCTTGGTATTTACCACCGTCCTCAGGCTCGGTACATGAGTTTATCGCGTTTGTCCTGCTTTGATGCAGCTGCAGGCATGCGGTTCCGAAATTCGCAGCTGTTTCGATCGCCCGGTGTCATGAGGGTGGAGATCTTGACTGCGGTCAAAGTTGTCGTCTTCCTGCTCACCCTCAGTTGGGCTGCATTGATTGAGTTGCAACGGCAGTGACGTGCCCAACCAAACTGAATCCGCCAGCCAACAATCGCGCCCGCTGTGCAATTTCCCAATGCCTCTCCAATTTTCTCAGATGCTGGCGGTGAACAAGGGCGTCGAGCGGCTGGTGCTGACCCACACCAACATCACGGACCAGGGGGCGCAGCTCATCTGCAACGCGCTGCAGGTGCGGCGCGGCAGGGCGATGCGCGTCGCAACCAGGGCCGCTGTGCCTTGCTGGGGGCCAACGCCGTGCGCAGCCCAATCTTGTCAATCATCCCTTCGTTCCTGTCCCCACTTACAGCTGTTCCATGATGGCCACAGCGCCCTGCACAAAAGACTCCACCTTGCCCCCTTCCCCAGAAGCAACAGCACCACTGGCGAATCTCTCAAGCTGTTCTTTGACAAAACCTCATCCCCATCCTGCTTACCCCCCCCCTTCCCGCCACAACCCATCAGACCAACGGCACCCTGCAGTCCATAGACGTGAGCGGCAACGCCTCGATGGACAAGTCGTGGCAGAAGCTGCTCAACCACGTGGCCAAGGGGAAGCCCAGGAGCTGAGGCGGCCGCACGCCGTGACGTCGTCGTGACGTCATCGTGGCGGACCTGAGCCAGCGCCATCGGGCGCGTCCACACGCAAAGCCTTTCCCCAGCGCGTCGCAAGCCCTGGGGCCGCCAGCCCTCCTTTTTTGAGGCGGGCTGTTCTGTGTACATAGCAGTGCAGGGGGGGTGGGGCCGTGTCGAGATCTTCAAGAACTGACGCATCCTTTATCGTTTTTCGAGGCCTGTGGCGTGTTGGGGCTTTGGCACAGCCCTACATTGGCAGGGAGCTTTTGTGCACCGGCACGTCTGCACCTGCTGGGGCTTTGGTTTCAAAGACGTTTCATGGATTACCTTGTCGTGATGAAACACACAAAACAATGGGCCCAAGGGCAGCCGTGCAAGGCTGCTGCCCGTGAGCCGAGAGACGCGCCGCCGCCCACCAGCCGCGCCTCGCCGCGCGTGCGCCCCGCCCCCGCGTGCCGCCACGCGCTGCGACATGCGCGGGGGCCGAGGGGCGGGGCGCCGCCTGCCTGTAAGGGATTGCGAGAGAGAGAGGGACAGCTACTCGACGTGCATGAGGGTGATGGGCGAGGGCAGCAAGGGAGGGGTGCATGACAAGGCACTGGGGGATGGATCACACCTGCGTGCGCTTCCTTGCTGCACAACATCGTTCTCGACCGCAGAATTTGCCGTTGCGTGATCAGGGGGAGGGAGTGGCCGTTACAGAGGCGGGCGGGGCACGCAGGAAGAATGGCCGCCGCCTGCAGCGGTTGACCGGCGTTGACCGGACGTTGACTGAGGGATGGTGGGCGCCAGCCAGCCTGGGCGCCTCTGGCGCACTATCAAGTTCAACAGGGCACTAGAAACAGCATCGCACGAAGCAATTGCGAAAAAGGGAGAGCAGGGGGGATGACCAAGGGCGACAGCAATGCGCCTGTGCAAGCGCGAGCAGCAACAGCCGACGCGGCCCCACGCGGGGCGGCGCGCGAGGGATGCACGGCGAGCAGGGTCAAGCGGGGATGAAGCGACCTCAAACGTCAGCGCACGCGCAGCTGCAAGTGCAGACAGCGCGGCACAGAGGCTCATGCCCCAAGCAAGGCAGTGCGAGGTATGGAGGATGCGCCGCGGCGCAGAAAAGTAGAGGGTAAGGGAAAGAAGGGGTGCAGGGGGAGCGAGCGAAGGGAGCAGTCCCGAAGCAAGACGCAGCGTGAAGCGCAGCAGGCGAGCGCGCGGGCCGAAACGGGCCAAAAACTGCCATCGGGGCCGACAACGGGCCGCGGCGGGCGCCGGGCGGGGGAAGCACGAGCGGAGCGCCCGCACCCCCCCCGCGCGGCAGCCCTTGTGACAAGGCACTGTGCCAGGCGCTAGAATTGGACCTCAGCTGACAGCCACGCCATCATTCAACCCCCTAGAAAATGGTGGCAGACGAGCGGCACCGGGCCGCGCCTCGCGCGCACTGCACGCGGCCGTTCACTCGTCGCCGCCGCCGCTGCCGAGCTGCGCCAGCTGCTCCGCGAAGGCCGAAGGCTTGAGCACTGCTGTGGAGGCCAGCAGCACGTCGCGGCCCAGGGCCTTGGAGGCCTGGGGACGGAGGGGGTGGTGCGGAGAGTGGGGGTCGCGTGTTTGACTGTGTTTGACTGTGCGTGTGGGATTAAATTTGTGTGTATGTGCACGCGTGTGTGCATGTGTGCATGTGTGTGTGTGTGTGTGTGTGTGTGTGTGTATGTGTGATTATGTGTATGGTTGTGTGGAATCGCCGCAGCCCTCCCTTTCTTTGCCGGCCAGCCTGTCCGGCCCCAACTCCCCCGCCTCCACAGCCACATAACAGGTATGCCAACCGCCCCACCGCCCCACCTGGTGCGCCGCCCGCATCTCGCTGCGCGTGACCCCGCCGATCACGAACACTACCAGCCGCCGCCCGCCGCCCACCGCAGCGCCGCCGGCGCCGCCGTAGCCGAGCAGGGCGCTGGGGCCGCTGGCGGCCTCAGGGCCGGCCGCTGAGCTGGCGGAGCCCTGTGTGGATGTGCGTGTGTATCCGAGTATGTATGTATTTTTGTGTGTGTTTGCGTGTGTGTGTGTGTGTGTGTGATTGCATGTCACTCTCGACAAGGAAAAGGTTGAGGGACAGAGTGCGAGTGTGCGTCTGTACGCGCACGTGCGTCAGTGTATGGCTTCGACAGAGACAGTGAGACAGAGTGTGCGCGCGTGTGTCAAAGAAACAAAAGTGAAAATGCATGAGTGCCACGTGCTGATGCGTATGACAGCTTCCACACCCTCTCGCGGTTGTCTGCTACATTCCATCCTCCGCGCCACCACAACCCCCTCCGCACCCCCCCGCCCGCCCCACCTTGCGCGCCCAGTTGAGGGTGGACCTGTTGGTGCGCGCGCTGGCCACCCGCACAGCCTCGCTGGTGGCGAAGTCGTCCGCGTCCCCGGGGGCCCTGGCGGGTCGTCGCGCCGGTGGGGGTTGGGGGGCGGGGGGGTGTGACGATTCATGACGTCAGCGATCGCAATCGACCGCAGGCGGTTGGTTCCAGAAGCTCGGAGGGTCCAGGCACGCAGGGATGCGCCACCCAAGTCGGCGCTTCCGTCAAGCAGAAGGGGTCGCGCATGGGGCTTTTGCGAAGCAGCCGCCTGCTTGCATCCCTCGCGCACGAATCCCCGATCACACGGCAGACAGTGGAAGATGTAGCCGGCGCAGCCGCCCAAGCGACGCGCCGATGGCAGCGTTGGAACCGGGGCTGGCCGCGGTGCCAACCGCGCCCACATTCATGCCCTCCCGCCCCCCTTCCCCCCCCACACACACACACCTGAGGAAGGGGTACGCATCCTGCGCCAGCTTGCCCCCGGCGGCGTCCTCAATCAGGTCCAGCAGCAGCGGGTCAAACCTGCGGGTCAACGCACGGTCAAACGTCGGTCAACATGCTGCGCAACAGCAAAACGTTGCGCAGGATTCGATGGCAGCAGACCCCGGTCAAAGTTGGTCAATGACCCCGGAGGGTCATCGCTTTGCCTCTTGCCCCTGCTTGAAACCTAGCCTACCAAATTATTACAAGCGTTGCAAGGGCCGTTGAAGAAGCCGCCATCCAATCTGCCCTGGACCCTAGCAGACCCCCCCCTCTCCCCCCCTCCCTTCGCCCAGCCAGCCAGGCCTGCTTGGGGGCCGCGCATCCCACCTGGCCAGCGCGTAGTTGCTCTCCTCGCGCCCCTCCCTCTTTTTGTAGGCGCCCTTCTTCTTCTTGGAGCGCAGACCAAACGTCAGGCCCTTGGACTGGGGGGGCGGGGTTCAGAATTTTAGGGAAGCGTGGGGT